TTTCCATAAATTTTCTACATGACTTGCCAGAAACTATAAGTTGTAAATCTGTTTTGTTGCTTCAGAAAGAGGTGGGGAGGAGGAACTGGTTTATTTCTATTCAGCTCTGGAAAAACCCCTTGCCTTATATCTATCCAGGGCTACCCCTGCCATCCCTGGAGTTAATCTACCACTAATCCCCTGCCTGGTGGGGGAGGGAGGAGAGGGCGGGGTGTCAGCCTCAGAAAACTGACCACTGCTGGTCTCTCCTTTGTGACTGACTCTTAGACCATTTCTCCAGTTTCCAAGTCTGAGCCACCTGCTAACATTCCCTCCAGTGTCTTTGCTACTTCGGGTTTTTCTGCATTCAATCTTCCTGTGTCCTCACTGGCTTTGGCACAGTTAGGCTTCTGGGCCCTCCCTCTCCCACCTCTTCGAAATGCACTCACCTGGTGTGGGGTGTCGGTCTCAGAGAAGGAGAGGATGCTGGTTTCAAGAGGGAGTGGGCAGGTTCTTTTTTTAAAACTAAAACAACACATAAAATCAATGTAATATTGTTAAAATTATTACAAACAGTTTGAAAATGGTTGTGTTTGCAGGGAGAGAAAGGAACATGTATAATCCTCTCTCTCTAGTAGTAGCCATTCTCACCTTACACCTTTGTGTAATTCCTCCCGGTCCTTACCTCAAGCATACACATTTTTTATGTAAAATTTTGTATTTTGCTTTTTTCGCTTAACAGTCTAACCCCCAGCACTTTTCTGTTTTGCTGCAAATCATCATAATTATCATTTTAAATGGCTGCATGCCTGTCAGTGAAATGGATGCACTGGGACTTAGTTAACTTCTCCTTTCTCACTTGAGCTGTGTGCTGGTGGCCATGGCGGGTGAAGCGGGCAGAGTGCACGCTTGCAAGGACATGGAGGGAAGCAGAAGCGTGGTGGGTTCCTGGCAGTTGTTCCTTCCATTTCACCAGCCCTGTTGGGTCCTGAAGCAGCTTCACATTTGTACCCTCTTGGTGAAAGGGAAGGAACTCTGTTGCACCCTTATTCTGTGGCAGGCACTGTGTGAAGCGTGTTTGCTCACGTCATCCTGCCAGTCAGGGCTTGCTCTCACTGTACACACGAAGGCATTGGAAGAGTGAGAAGAGGAAGGGAAGCATCTTCGCCAAAAGTCTTGATGGCTGTGGACACCAGAGCCCACGCTCTTTCCACCATGGCCAGTCTACTCCCCCAGAGTTGGCCACTCAGTCATGTCCGTGCAGCCCATCTTGAAGGCAGGGAGAAGTGCTTTCCTGACTTTGGGTGGTGGTAATGGGCAGCCCCTCTCCCCGCATGACACCCTGATGCTGCACTCATGGCTCTGGGTCTCTCTCTCCACAGCCTTATGACAGTCTGCCTACCTCACAGACCTGCTTCTTCCAGCTGAGGCTGCCCCCCTACTCCAGCCAGCTGGTCATGGCTGAGCGCCTGCGCTACGCCATCAACAACTGCCGCTCCATCGACATGGACAACTACATGCTCTCGCGCAACGTGGACAACACTGAGGGCTCCGACACTGACTACTGACGGCTGGGGTGCCGTGTGCCGCCCCCTCTTTTCTCAGTAATGCTCACTTCCAATTTCATGTTGATATACATAGATGTTTTAGGAACATAAACCAATATTATAAACAGTGGCCACATTTAGTTACTCTGTAACAAAGAAATTAGATGTTTTTATTTTTCTGTGATTGTACAAAACAAAGACAAAGTGCTCTCAGTCAGGTTTTTCCCTCCATATTTTGGTCACTTTTGATAAGTTTGCATGGAACCATTTTGGTGCATTTTTAGTTGGGAATGGTACATTTTTGTAAACCCACCCAGTGAACATGAAATTGTACATTGTGTATAATTGTTCATTAGAAAGGACAGTTTTACATGAATATTCATATATTTATTTTGTTTTAATTTGAATTGCCTGTGCAGGGTTCCTTATGCAGAGAAATAAAGCCAGTCAGGAAACAGGATGTGGCTGCTTTTGTTACCAGCATGGAGCTTCTGACGGAGAGAAAGCGAGCTTTCAGGCTACTCTCTCCCTCTGACGCTTTTGACCACCAGAGAGATTCCTTCCCACTGAGAGTGGGCTTTGCGTGGAGATGGCCTAGCAGAGAGGCCAGGCCGCATGGGCACAGACCCAGGGGCTGGGAAGGCCCTGCCATCATTTGCTCGGTCATCTTGGGTCTCTCACTCTGTGCTCACTCCAGAGGCCTTGCTTTAGCCACTCAGCCCATCTTCTCAGCACCACCCTTCCTCCTACATAGCTGTCTTAAAGTATAACATGCTAAAAAGAGCCTTTCTTGAAGCCCTGGGATATGCCTAGTGCGGCATGCGGCTATACCAGGCAAGGAGGAAATTAACCAAAGTAATACGGTTCTGGTCCTGCCTGTGAAGAACAAGCTGATGGGATGAAAGAGCCGGGCAGTTTATGGTAACGTGCATGCTGCGGGGATGAGTGACGGGGTGAATGAGTGAGTAAACGTGTGAACTAATACGAGAACTGATGAGTGGCTTTCATGTTCTCGAGTGATGGACGGTGGGGAGCAGTAAAGGGGCTGGGGGAAGAGGTGACTTCAAGCACTCTTGGTGCTTGATCCCAGTGCTGGAGGACCCTGGGCATGTGCTTGTGTGTGGAGGAATGTCAGGGTGAGCATGTGGTTCTAGGGGAAAGGCCATCTTAGAGCCCAGAAGACTGGCTGTTGGGAGTGGGAAAGGAAGAGGACAAGACCTTTGGGTGGCTTTCTCTGTCATCTACAGCAAGTTCAAGCCAAAAGCTGCTGCGAGTGTACTTCAAGACTGACGCCTGCTCAAGGGTGCCAGACAGCCTTGCAGGCAGTTGTTTTCCACAAGGAAATAGAAGGTGTGTATTTCAAAGAGAAATTGGAAGAAGAAAATGGTTTTGTTGTCTAAGATAATGTGGTGCATGGATCTTCCCCACTGAGACTGTCTAATAATATTTAGAATAATGACATCTTATTTTATCGAAAAGAGGCTTCAACTAGAACTGGGTCTCCGAGAGAGATCACAGGTTTGGGGAACCTTGGGTTTCTGGGCAAAGACAAGCTTTTACTACTCGATCTGCGAGCTCAGTCAGCAGCAGTGGTGAAGGGCTCTGAGCTAGAAGCACTCGGGGCCACGAGGCACTGGCCAGGCCCCTGGACCAGGAGGTTCAGTTAGGGAAGGGAGGCCTCTGTGCTGCTCAGATCCTGGGCCACTGGAGACGGGCCTTCAGCTTCTGGGCTGGTTCCTAGTGACAAGTGGCTCTTGCTGGGCTGGGCTGGCTGACGGTGTGCTGAGCTGAAGGATACATCTGCTGCCTCGAAGACTATTTTAAATCAAAGTAATACTTTGGCCTTGTGAGGCTCTGACCTCTGCCGTCAGTTTGCTCTGGACTGAAGGGCAGAGGCACGCCCAGCAGGCTAACGCTCATGGTCCCAGGTCCTGTTGTTACCGGACAGGGACTGGGCCAGGAGAGGGTCTGCCTCAGGCTGGCCTGTAGTATGTGGGTTCTTGACTTTGTGCAGGAAAGATTTCACAAGACAAGTCCAGGTGACTTTAAGAGGGTGTTTCTTAAAGCTGGGGACAGTGACACAAAGGCAGCACTCAGGGTAGAAGCACCAGGAGAGAGCCTGGGCGGTGCTCTGCCTTGGCTCCCTAGAAACATAGGAAAGAAGTGAGCCAAGGTGGGGCTGCTGTCAGCTCACTGGGAAGTCAGAAAAGGGGGCTTTGGAGACAGGTTCTGGGGGTGAGCCCTGGACAAGCTGCCATTGCTCACTGTTCCCCTGGCTGCATGCCTCATGGGGACCCTTAGAGGTTAGGAGGAAGTAAAAAGTTCATGTCCGAGAAGGGGCATGAGCATACACTAGAGGGAGCCCACACTAGGTCTTTGTTATTGAGGGTTTTTATCTTTTCTGTGGGCGAGGATTTTAGGGGAGGGTTTCAGCAGAATATTCATCAGCTTTTCAGGTGTGTCTTTAATATACTGATGCACCAAAATGAGCATATATGGGAGTTTGGGATTATTCTTTGGTCTGCTTTACTGTTTTACTTTTATCTTGGGTATGCCTGGCTCTAATTGGATTTTTATTTGTTCCCCTGACTTCATCTGTCCGTGGGTTTGCCTGGCACAAATGGCACTAATTGGGTCTCTGTTCTCTCTCCCCAACCAGGATGATTTAAGCCGTGCATTCTCTGGTTAGGGAGGAGAGGTATAAACTATTTACTCTCGAGTGCCCTTGGTTAGGGGAAATAAGGTCTTGCAATTTACTAGGTGGCTGAAAGTGGTTCAAATTGTTTGGCCTTGTTTAATTTTTTTTGTCTGTTTCCCCATCCCATTTGCCAGGAATTTTCCTAGTGTGTTACTATCCTGCCTCACTGACTGTCAGGTCTAATGGACAGCTTCTCAGAAGGTCTGACCCTACGAGGAAAATCTGCACAGATGCCTTAGTTTTGTAATATGCCGTTTCTTTGCTGGGGAGCCTGTCACTGTTCTTCATTCTCTCGACTTTGGAAGCCCTGGAAAGAGGGAGGTGTGAGTCCCTGAGCTAAGGAGCTGAAATGCCAGATACGATATTTCTTTTACTCGGGTCACTTCCAGCCCCTGTGGAGGCTTGGGCACTTTCTCTGTTTGCTGGACTCATTCAGTTAACAAATACTTGTGGTTTTTTTATGACCCTTAACTAGTCTCGAGAACTTTGACCTCCAGCCTTTAAAATTTAAGATTTCTCAGGCCCTTCAAGGTAGGGCTTTGTTCTGGGCCTCCCAGCTTTGTGGCCCTTGCCCAGCACTCCCAGCCATGAGACACCCACATCTAGTTAACTCAGTTTTTAGCAAAAAGCAAGTCTTGGGCATGGAATCCTAGAGCTGGAGGAGCTCAAGCTAAGGGATCAGTTTCTCCCTTTACAGACCAGAAATCCAGGGTCAGGAGAGGGAAAGCACTGGATCACAGATACACCAGGTTAGAGGGGAGAGTCCCAGCTTCCTGTCAGCACACCTGTGTGGGAGCTGATGGGGGCCGAGCAGTCCTCTCCAAACATTCAGCCTTTGCAGAAACTGGCCAGTGTGTCCCTGAAAGACGGGCCTCAGCACCACCTCTCAGGGAGCAATCTGGGGCCTCTGACCTAAGAGCATGGAGCCCCAGTCTGCTGGCACTGAGGTTCCCGTGCAAACCAGCCGGCGCTGTGTGGTACCTGAGGTCGGCCTCCAGTCAGGGGTCTGTTCTGCATCCTCCCCCTAGCATTCCCTCTACGTGGCCATTGGTTATCTCGGTCACAACAGAATGAAAAGAATTAACATTCAGGAGCCGGGGAATGTCTGTGGTCTCTTCTGATGGAGGCTGTGAAGGCACAGCTAACTCCCAGTCGTTTCTAGGTGCCTCCTCTGGAGGTCAGGCCCCCATCTCCCCAGCTCGCCCTCCTCTGCACTATGCCTTGGGTTCTGCCAGGCACTTGGCTTTTCTAGCGCCCCACCCCCAACACACACACACAGAGGACTCCTTTCCCTACCCCTACCTTCCAGCACTACACATCTATATATATAAAAGCCTAAGCGACCATCTGACTTTTCGACTGGTAGCTATGACACACAATGACCACCAGGGGGCAGATGCTCTGACCAGTAGCTATGACGCGCACTGACCACCAGGGGGCAGATGCTCAACACAGGAGTTGCCGAGCTGTGGTGACTTGGCAGCTGTAGTTCTGGGGTGACGCACCCAGAACCAGAGAGGAGGGAGCCCAATTCTAGGGTGTGTCACCCAAGAACCTCCCTCTCCCAATCCAGGACCCCTCAGGGAATGTCAGAGAGCCGCTTTCAGCCCGATCCCCACAGGCCAGGCCGAGGGACCCCGCTCACTCCGCAGACACCCTTCAAGCCCCAGCGCTGCTCCAGGTGTGGCCAGCCGGGGAAGGACCACAGGAGGTTGGCTCCAGGGTGTGTCCAGCCCGTCTCACCCAGTCCTGCCCTGCCAGCCACCTTCTAAGTAATTTCCTTTCAATGTGCACGAATCCATGCACCAGGCCTCTAGTTTAGACATGATCTCATCGCAGGGTCACAGAGAGGGTCCCCATTTTACAGATAAAGAAACTGAAGCTCAGAGAGGAGTTATGGATGGTGGGGCTGAGCGAGCACTTGAAATCTCCCCTCACCCGAAGCTGCATGTCTTCTGACTAGAGTGAGTCCTTTGGGGGAGGGCGTGGCCCAGCCCACGACCAATACCCACTAACTGTTTGCTAGATGAATTAAGCATGCAGTGAGTGCCCCTTGTTCTGTGCAGATCTGAGAGAAGACCCAGAAAGTAGTTGTTAGATTCAGCAGGACACTGTTCGGTCAGGTGCTTTGCTCTGCTGCTGATGGTGAGCAGTGATGTGAGGAGGCAGAGTGCTGCCCACCTTCTGAGAGCACCTCGGATGGCGCTGGGCTAAGGGACCCAAAGCTTCCCTGGGTGGGCGGGGCAGAATTAGGAGCCCTAGAACATGTGGGACACAGCTTTAGTCCTGTGTCACAGTCCTGGTATAT